AGACAAAGACAAATACAAGGATTTAAAAGCACACTGAGAAAAAATGTGTTGGCTAGGATGAGGAGGAAAAGGAAACCTCACACATGTTACCACACGTTGTGGTTTTATTTGTAGCATTTTACAGCAATAAATAATTTTTATATGTTTTATATCTATATACTTTTTAAATGCAACTGTTCAAGGACGTGATCAAACATTTGATAAAATTCCTGAGATTAATGCTGCATCAATGTAAATTGATGTAACCACTAAGGAAAACAATATGGAAGTTCCTCAAAAAATTGAAAATAGAAATGCCATGTCATCTAGCAATTCCATTTCTAGGCATTATCCAAAAAATAAGGAAAACACTAATTCTAAAAGATAAATTCATTGTCTTTATTTATAATAGCCACGATGTGGCTATCTATCAATATCTATCAATATCAATATCAATATCCATTGATAGATGGGTCAAGAAGATGTGATATGTGTACACAATGGAGTACCGTGCAGATATAAAAAAGGTGAAATTTTGCCATTCATTGTGACAGCATGCATAGACCTTGAGGGCATTGATTATGCTAAATGAAATTAGTCAGAAGGAGAAAGACAAATACCTTATGATTTCATTCACTTATGGAGAATAGAACATCAAAGCAAATGTTGACAAGCTAAAGCAGAAACAAAGAGATTCTGACAACAAAATCAAAGAGATTTTGACAACAGAATGTTAGTTACCAGAAGAAAAGTGAGAAGGAGGGTAAAGGTTTGCTAGATGTGCAGAGGGGATCAATTAGAATAGTGTGGTATATACAGAAGTCAAAGTGTGAAGCTATATGCTTGAAACAGAGTATTGTAAACTAAAATTGCCTTCAAAAATAATATTTTATGAAGATATGGCAGTTTCATCAAGGAAATTTGTAATCTTTCATTAAAAATTTCTGTTTTATGGTACAACTTCTTCATGAATTTAATTTTTTTCTTATGCTGATTTATTTCCTTGGGATATATTGCCACAGTAGAATTTTCTGTCAAACACTAGGAATGTCATTGTGGTTTTATTTGTACCATTTTACAGAATAAATTTTTAAATCATTTTTACATGTTAATCTATATATTTTTGTTTTGTTTTGTTTTTTAAGATTTATTCATTTATACACACAAGAATGGGTACAGGCCATAGGTGTGAGGGATGAGAAGATTCACCAGAGACAGAGTGGGGAACAGAACAGGCTGATCAACCAAAATTAACTGCTGAGGGAAGCACCAGGGTGTGTCAGGAGAGGTCTGCCACACCATAGCATGTGGGTCACCTTCCTGGCCAGGGATCAAACTCATGCTGCAGTGGCATCAGATAGCTTCACAGTGCTGTGCTTTAACAAACCACTGCATCACCTAGGTGATACGTTTTAAACACAACTATATACATTTTAAACACAACTGTTCAAGGATGTAATCAAACATTTGAGAAAGTGTTTGAGATTAATACTGCAGCAGACCCCTAGTAAACTTATCATGTGAACATGTAAAGCTTTTTTCAAAACCAGGATTTCTCTGGGCAGTCTTTTCTTTGGCTTTTGCTGGTCCTCCCCACCTGAACTTCAAGTTCTCTTCCTTAGTACTTCTGGAAGGAACACTCCCAAAATCTCCCTCCCAGAATCTTGGTCTTCTCAGAAGCTCATCCTTTATTTGCTTTTGGAGTCAGGACTTGTTTGCATATGTGAAAAATGAGGACCATATTGTTTGCAGATGCTAGGGGTGCTGCCAGATAATGTAAAAAAGTTGAGGCATTTAAATCATTTTTACAAACCTGACACAGGAGAATATTTTCTTAGAATTTAAAAAGAAAAAAGCATGGAAATAAAGATTGTGGGGTTGGGTTTCCAATTCCAACATTTCGCTTTGTGTTCATAATTGATGTTCCAAACCCACAAAGAGTTAGGGGTTTAATGGTGGGAGAATACAGAGGATTGAAAGATAAATCCCTGCAGATTCACCATATAATCTAGAAAAACAAATGCATAAAAGGAGTTAAGATGAATTACAAAACAAAAACTCAGTCTCAGTAATTTATGATCCGATTTACTAGCATTAACAGTAAGATTTTCCCCCTTCAATCAATAGTTGACTATTTAGCTTTTTATTTTAAGATAAAAGTAGCTGAAAAGTAATTGTGTTTCTTATCAGTAGTTGATAAACTCCCTCCCTTTTAGGAGTGAGACCCAGATGTGAGAGCAGTTGTTAAAAAGAATTGTTTTTTTAGCATTCAATGCTTTTGTTAAAAAAAAGAAATTAGTGTGGCTTCCAGACTGTCTAGCAATGATAAAAATGAATGAAAGTCTCACAAATCAACTGACTTAAAGTAGAAGTGTACATTCTCTTTCCAAGTAAATTTTGAAATCTGTAATTTTATCTGCAAATACAATGCTAAGTGCCCAGGTCCTACTCATGCCTCAACCATAGGCAGCTTTTGCAGCATTCTGGTTCAGTGAGGGTGGATTTAGCTGTGACTTTCTAGGCCTCAGCAGCTCTGCTTTGAGCCAACCCTGTTTGACTGGGCATCCACAAGGGGATGGGTAACTGGGTGTCTCATATTAAAACGATTTCATCTCTTCTTTCCCTTTTCTTCTCTTTATTGCACACTAATTATATTAAAGTTCCTTTCCATTAAAAAGTCTTATGCTCAAGATTATGTTTTGTCTTGATGCAGCATATGGCAAAACCTGTTTACAACAAACTGATTTGGGGGTCCTGATGTGCCCTTTTCCCTGCTGGGTAAGAGATACACAAGGTTAGCCAGCTAGAGTGGTGTCTGCTGCTGCCTTGTGGTGGCAGCTGCAGGGGGGCCAGCCTGTGCTGCTCTAAGTTTCACTCTTGGCAAAGTGGGGAGTTCTGGCCAGGTGGGGACTCTAAGGAGAGTTCTGCAGACCTGAGGACTCAAGCAGATGGGGGCCCAGCTAGATGAAGAGAGGCTCGTCTAGCCAGTTCTTCATTTCTTGGGCAGTCAAGACCTTGTGGGCCTGAGAATGCAGTGAGGATGGAGAAGTTAGTGCACCTAGAAGCAGCAGTACCCTTATGCCCTCAGTGTGTCATGTTACTTCTTTTACCACCTCCAGCACTGCACATTCTTTCAAAACTTGGCCTTAATTTCATCTGTTGCTGGCTACTGGTCTACAAAATGAAGCTGAGGCTGGCAGTGGGTGTGAAGTAGAAGTTGAAGTGCTTTGTAGGTGACCTTGATCACCCTGGTTTCTCACCTCTCTTTGCCTCCCCTTTTCTTTCCTTTGGTCTCAGACTCCAGATCTTTTGCTGTTTTAGCCCAGGGCAGAAAGGGCTTTCAGACCTGTCTTGTAAGAATTCCAGCTTGATGGTTGAGGGGTCAAGTTGATGGTGAAGGGGTACCCTTCTTGTTCCTATAAAGTTGTGTTTTAGAAAGTATATCTTTAATGTTTGAAACAGAAGTACCTCTTCTGGTGATAATATTGCATTTTTCACTCAAGTTTGCAAACTACA